TAGTAAAGAAAAAGATCCAGAAAAGTGGGCATTTGAAAGATTAATCTTACATAAAAAATTTAGAAAAGAAGAAGATCTTAAAGAAATGTACACAACATACATGAATGCATATGAAGCAAATATGGAACAAATAAATGAAAAACAACATCGATACATATATAAAAAAGTAACAAATGAGAATGAATTTGATTGGGAGAATCCAGAACAAGAATCAAATAAATTATTAAAAGAACAAGCACAGTATATACAAGAAATAAACACAAACCAAACAGATGAATTTGATATAAAGAAAGATTTATTCAAAATGAAAATTAACAAAAAATTAAATTTAAATATAAAAGATAAAATTTTAACAAATACAACAATTATAATACAAGATGAATACCTTATGGAAACTAGTAAATATCACCAATTATTAAGAACTCTTAATAAAAAGCAAAGAATAATACATGATGACTTCATATTGAAAAAAATAAAACAACCTAACAAAAAATTATGCTTATTTTTAACAGGAGGAGCAGGAACTGGAAAATCAATGCTTTTAAATACACTTATAAAAACACTCAAACGATATTATAAAACAAACCAAGATATAAATAATGAACCAGGACAAACAATATTAATAACAGCACCTACAGGAAAAGCAGCTTGTAATATAAATGGTTCAACAATACATTCAGCTTTTGCATTTCGACCAGAAGCATCAAAACAACGTCAAACAATATTAACAAATGACACATTAGATAAATATAAAAGAAAGTTTTCAACAATAAAATGTTTAGTAATAGATGAAATATCAATGGTAAGTATAGAAATGCTACAAGATATAAATAGAAGATGTGAAAGCTTCAAAACAACATATGGAATAGACTTTGGTGGGATGGATTGTATATTTACAGGTGATTTCTATCAATTAAATCTTACATTTGAAGCACCAATTTATTCAACAAAAACATATAGACCTGAAAATGATGTCTCCATACACCACCCATGGAAAAATAATTTTAAAATCTATGAACTTACTGAAATAATGAGGCAAAAAGATGATATAATCTTTATAAAAGCTTTAAATAAAATAAAAATAGGAGAACAAACAGATAAAGAGCTAGAATATATAAATAAACAAGTCACTACAGATACATATAACACAGAATACTATTCTATATTTGCAACTAATGAACAAGTAAGAGAACATAATGAAAAAATAATACAACACATACAAGGTAAAGATATAATTATAGAAGCACAAGACAAACATGGAAATTCCTGTCCTACACATTTTTCGCTGCCAGATGACACAAGAAAAACACAAGGACTACATAAAATATTACATTTGAAAAAGAAAATGGCAATTGAAATAACACAAAATATAGCAACAGAAGATGGATTAGTAAATGGAGCAGATGGAGTATTACAAGATATAACCCAGATTGAAGAAGAACAAATAATGTGGATAGAATTCCCAAATATAAAAACAGGTGAAAAAACAAGAGCTAAAGAAAACATAACAATAAAGCAAAATAATGAAAAAAACTGGACACCAATAAAAAAAATAACAAGAACAATAAATATTACTAAAAATAAAAACTATGTTATAAGTAAAACCCAATTTCCAGTACAACCATGCGCAGGAAGAACAATACATAGAGCACAAGGATCAACAGTTATGCAATTAGGATATGACCCATATAAAACAAAATATCTAGGACAAGCATATACTGCATTATCAAGAGCACAAACATTAAAAGGGATACATTTATATAGACCAATTGAACATAAACATATTAAAATCAATAAAGATGCAGCTAAAGAAATAATAAGAATGACAACAGAAGCACCATGGCAAATTGATCTAATAGATTTACAAAAAGAAAAAACAGCTAAACAAACAATTATACAAGTTCTAAATACAAGATCTATTACTGCACATCAAGAAGATATAAAGAGTGATTCACAATTATTAACATCAGATATAATATGTATGCAAGAAGTAAGAACACAAAAACATGAGGATTTATATTTTAATAAATATAAATCATATATACATGAACAACCCCCACATATAGCAATATTGCATACAAATGACTACAAATCAGAAATAGTAGAACATTTAAAAACAGAAACAATGGCAATGTCATATGTATCACTAGAAAAAAATAAAAAACAATTACAGATAATAAATTTACATAGAAAACCTGGAACAAATATACATATATTCATAAAACAACTACAAAAATATATACAGAAAATAGATAATAAAAAACCAGTAATAATTACAGGAGATTTTAATATTGACTACCAAATAGAAGAAGTAAAACCACTTCAAACAATAATGGAGAAAGAAGGATATATACAAATAATAAAACACAATACACGTAATAATAAATTAATAGATCATATATGGATAAAAGATATAATATATACAAAAGCAGGAATAGCACCTGCATATTGGACAGATCATAACAAATTATATATCATAATAAAAAATATTTAAAAACAAAAGCAAACCAAGCGTTGCTGCAACGCAATGCGCAGCAATTTATTATAATAGTGGCTAATTAACAGCTTCTTGCTGTAGCTAAATCATTCTTCACATGAGTCAATTTATTGTCCTGCCAACTCAAAAACCTAGAGCTGTTACTATATAGTCCTATATTTCCAACTCAAAGAACAGGATGAAGTGGTGTGGATGGCACTCGTCACTGGGTTTGCACAGCAGAAAGATTGCAAGATTGCAAGCTTAGCATTAGATGGCATGAAGGTTTACATGATGGGGTTTAAGAGAAACTCTAGTAAAATGTGTTAGATCCAGCTTTAGTGTACCTTTCTTCTTTATTTCCTCGGCTTGGACAAAATTTTAAAGTTGGTAGAGCCAATGTTATGATCCAATGCAAAAAGACAAAAATCTAGTCTCCCTAGACTATGTTATACCACCCAACCACCCTTGACTTCTACTGTGGCACCTTTAAGAGTCTGGAAACTTCTGACACTTTTGCTCAATGCAGCATATCCAGGGAATTCAAATCATCACTACTTGTATTCGTTGAGGAGCTCCTTACCTGGTGGGAGCTTAGTGGGAAGAGTGCCAATCTCAAGATATCCCAGCAACATGGCCACAACGTCACTCATTGTTGGTCGAGCTTCCTCATGTTCTTGCGTACATAGCATGGCAACACGGAGCAGTCTAGAAACCTCCTCCACCACATAGACACTGCCCAGCCTCTTGTCAATGCATTCGCTCATCCTGTTTGCCATGACGAGTTTCCAAGACTGCAGCCATGAAAGCATTGGTTATCGGTTCTAATTTGATCGACTTACCAGTTGAAGTAAGAGCTCCTCTGCCGCTGGCGAGCTCTAGGACGAGGATTCCGTAGATAAAGACATCGGCTTTGGCTGTCAATCGCCCTCGAGTTGCGTACTTGGGTGCCATGTATCCACTAGAAGAATGGCGTGAGTTTTGTCCAGACTGCGGAAGGAAGAGGATTACAATGTGCCGGCCACCTTTGTACTCATGAAGCTTTTGTCCAAGTTTGATATCCCAAAGTCGGAGATCTTTGGCTGCAGCTTGATGTTGCTGGCTTTGATGTCTCCGTGGATAACCTGGACATGGGACTCCTCGTGCAAGTAAGCAAGACCACGAGCTATCCCAATGGCAATTTGAAAGCGTGACTGCCAGTCAACGAACGCGTTTGATCCAGAACCTGCGGATAAAGCTTATCGTTAGAAAGAATGGAGAGAAACAAGGATTATTACTGAAGAGCGCTCGGTCAAGGCTGCCTTTGTTGAGGAAGTCGTAGACGAGCAGCCTTTCATCTGCCTCAACACAATAGCCTTTGAGCCTTACAAGATTTCGGTGCTGAATTCCCATGATAATGATGATCTCGTTCACGACCTCTCTTTTGCCTTGGTTAGACTGCAAGGAGAGCTTCTTCACTGCTACTTGCGAGCCACTGTTTAAGGTGGCCTACAAGAAACAAGATAGTTCTAGGCGTGCAACTTCACAGAATAAAGAACTAACCTTGTAAACAGTTCCAAATCCACCTTGTCCAAGCTTGTTCTTCTCGCTGAAGCTATCAGTGGCTAGAGACAAATCCTGGTACTTGAACACAAGAGGACCTTCAATGCTTCCTGTTGTCAACGAAGCAAACCACGTCAAAAACGGGAAGAACACTCGAGAGAAAATAACACTTACTTTCGATGTCGGTATCGTCTCCACGCCTCTGGCGCCAAACCAACTTGGTATGTATCCTCCATCTCCATATGGCAAAGCCAGCAACACCCAAGAGCAAACAAAGTCCCACTGCTCCTCCCACGAGTCCCCATGGCCAAGAAGAGGAACTGGATGCTCGAGCCGGAGGAGAAGAACTTAATGGAGGTATTGGAGCTAGCGCAGGAGCTGAAACATTCGGACCCAGCACCCCCAACACACCTACAAGCACAAGCTTCTCATACGAGATGCATCTAGTGATATTAGAGAAACTTACTCATTTTGACCAGCTCGGCAGTAAAGTTGTAGTTCTCGAATCTCAAGCGGCAACGATTGGAGGTGTCGTTGATCCAAAGCACGCCACCCACGGCAAGAGAAGCCACTTGCTGGAACTGACTGTAGGCCTGCTGGATGCACGAGGCGCAGCTTGTCTGATCCGACATGTTGTAGCAGCCAATGTGGCCGTGAGTGGTGTCGGGGAAATCACCATAGCCAAGGCATGAAGCGAATCCATTGGGAGGATTGTGCTCATAGAGGAACTGGATGACCGTCTCCACATTCTTCTGGAACTGGCTCCCTTGGGTGGTCTTGCGGGTGGCGTTATACACGACACCAGGTTTGGCGTCGCTGCTTGGCTCGTCGGGTGGAATGCCTTGTGCTGCCGAGCGATCGAGCAAGAACAGGGGAATCATCCATAGCAAGATCAAGAGTGCCATTGCTGTGCTTCACGCGGCTGAGCCAAAGAGAGTATGTCAAGTCCAAAGCTAGCAATGTTAATATTAAAGTTTAACATTAATTTAAAATAAAAATTCTTTTATCCTTTTTCTTAATTATAACGAAAGAAAATACGACTGGATAAGCATACGTGTCATATCTGCGGCTTCCTATTGGCACAATCCGAATCTTTAGAATATGCTTCATCAATGGAGGGTTTTCTCGCGGAGCCGGTTCGTTGTTGGCTATGGCAGCAGCGGCAATGGCATTCTCCTCCTCCTTCCTGCGACTTCCCAAGATTTACGCTCCACAGCAGGTACCGCAATCGCCTCCTTCAGCTAGAAATCTCTCAGGGGTAGCAAGATCAAGCGTGGAGCATTCCAATCCCATTAGAATGATCCAGGAAGAAAAGTTGGAGAGCCCACCGTCGCTCTCGCGGAGGCAAGCGGTGTTGGCTTCCACCACCGGCATTGTGTTGGCGGGGATGATGGAGCTCCATCCCTGCGCGGCATTGGCAGACTTCATCGAGGATTACAAATCGGACACCGAGGCCGTGATTGCCAAGGTGAAGGAGACGCTGGCGCTGGAGAAGACCGATCCGGCAAAGCCCAACGCGGTGGCGAGCCTCCGGCAGAGCTCAAACTCTTGGGTCGCCAAGTACCGGAGAGAGAAGAGCGTCGCCGGGAAGCCCTCCTTCAGCAACATGTACTCGGTGCTCAACGCCATCTCCGGGCACTACATTAGCTTCGGGCCCTCGAGCACCATCCCGGCCAAGCGCCAGCAAAGAATCCTCGAGGAAGTGAAAGACGCCGAGAAGGCGTTGAGTAGGGGACGATAGAACAAGGCTTTGACCAATAATCAAAATCTGGCATATTCACTGAACGATGCCAAGAAATTATGGACTAATTTAGGTGGTTTATGGACAGTAGATGGAATAGTTTAAAACCCTTAAAACCTTTGCAAAACACGAGCCTATACCTGAAAGCAAGGCAGTGCCAGGCTTTGCAAGCGAATCGAATACCTGGTGTGTGCTCTGCACCGAGCGTATGAATCCTGCAGCAAGCACGGGATGATCGCGTTCTCGTCTGTGATTCCACGCCGGCATATCTCCGAGCGGGTGGTGACCATGGTGCCGCTGGCCTTGAGAACAGCCACGAAGCTCTGAGTGTCCGGCTCGTTTGATCGTCCATAACCATGAACGCTAGCTCTTCTTCTCCACAATCTGCGAATCCTGTATGAGCGCGTTCCATGTAACCAAGTCGCGGTTCCAGCACCAGCAAAGCGTCAGCCATGCTCCCACACTTTGCATACGCGTCTACCAAAGTGTTCTTTATGAAACCATCCGCCGGTAAAGCGTGCACGGCCATGGATTTCTCCACCGAGACTGGCTTCATCATCGGACTCCTCCAATCCCAAACTCGTACAAGCCATACACGAAAGTGTGACCATCAAAATGGAAGCTTGTGCTACACTCCATACTTGCACGAGCTCACGTTGGCCATTCTCGGCGTATGAGGGAGTTCCAGGAGACGACGCTATGGAAATCCATTCTGGCGAAGACTCCCACCATGGATGCTAACCAGCGTGTTTGCAATGTAAATGCCAGAGTCGTGTCCATTGTGGCGAGGTGAAAGAAGAGCTTTCAAAGAGGAAGGAGAAGAATAACTTACAGAAAAACTGCATTCTAGCCTTGCTTGAACAACTTGAGAACGCATTTTCGCATCGCCGGTCAAGTTTGTATTGAGTTCGATGATATCAGAGCGAACTTAACACTATTGTGAAAAACAATTCTTATCAGTGTTTGACTACTAACTTGTTTTCTCTTGCGCAGCTAGGCTCAGGATCTAGCACGAAACATCAAAAGCCTGCAAAGATTAAACAGCCACAAAGTTTCCAATTCAAGTATGGCCAAGCGAGAGATAGTTCTCTCGAGACGAAGCTAAGAGCCATCTCCCATGCGACTCTGGAAATCCAGTTTAGAAGAATAAACCACTTCTAGAGTTGGACTCTTACTGCCGATAACTGAAGGAAAAGATCAGAGGACGTCAATCTTTTATAGAACGACGTCACATCGTTTTGTTCATCAGGCTCAAGAACTGACACAAAGTTCTTCCAAGAAAACGGGAAGATTGAGCTTCCACCGCCATGGTAAAGAAAAGTCCACACTTTCACCTGTTTGTAGATCCAATCGGGCGAAACAAGCTGTGATATAAGCGCAGTGACAACTCCCGGATAAACTTGTGTGTAAGCAAGTCCTACCGTCTCTCCCGAAGAACCACCAAGAACAAGCCATCTTTCGAAAAGAAAAAACAAAGAACGAACACGTTGAAATTGTTTTGGGTTTCAGTTCTTCATGGAGGTCCAAGAGCTGGATGCACGCGAAGACACGCACAGTTCTTCGATCTCAAGCACTATCGTGTGACCCTACTAAAAACTTTAAATTCTAAACTCTTAATACATGCTATTCCCTTGATTTGTATCAACAAGGCAAATGGGAAGAGATCCAAACGGAATTGATTCCAATCTCTTTGAACATGGAGATGGTAACATTGGCAAATTTATAGACTTGTTTGATTGTTTTGATTGATATAAAAAAGTGGTATTTCGATTGATGATATGGGGAACGTTACTATCTAATTTTTTGTGGGAGGGGGGCCACCGGTAGCTTGCTACCACGTGTCATTTTGGCCTTACACCAACCCCGTTTAAAGTTTAATTCTAAGAAGCATAGTTGTTGATTTAGGGTTTATGGGCAATTTTTTTAGGGTAGTGGTGGTTCATGGGCGATCCTGGCTCAACATGAATGGAGCTTTTTCAATCGCTCCAATATCCTCGAAACGATCAATGCTTTGAGGTAATCTCCCAGCTCGTCACTGCCTTGAAATCGTGCAGGAGCTCCAGAGACCTCCCAAAGGGAAGGCTCGTCCACGCAAACGCCGCTCACAATGGACACGACTCCAACATTTACATTGCAAACACGCTGCTCAGCATGTACGCTAAGTGTGGAGCCATGGTGGACGCTGCTCGAGTCTTCGCCAAAATGGATCGCCACAGCATCGTCTCCTGGAACTCGCTCATCCTGGGATACGCCGAGAACGGCCAAGGCGAGCTCGCGCTGGTTCTCTTTGCAAGCATGGAACGCAGGACAAGCTTCCACTTTGATGGTCGGACTTTCGTGGCTGCGCTGAAGGCTTGCACGAGTTTGGCCGTGGAGGAGTCCAAAGCTTCCGGCAGCAAAACGATGGTGAAGCCTGTTTCACTGGAGAAATCCATGGCTGTGCACGCTCTCGCGGCAGCCCGAGGCTTTCAAGAGGATGTTTTCGTGAAGAACACTTTGGTGGACGCGTATGCGAAGTGTGGGAGCATGGCCGACGCTTGGAGAGTTTTTGCCGGTGCTGGGAACCGCGACTTGATTACCTGGAACGCGCTCGTACAGGGATTTGCAGACTGTGGAGAAGAACAGCTAGCTTTCGAGTTTCTCTCGATGATGGAGGTGGAAGCTCTTCGAGCGGATGGTTTGAGCTTTACTGCCGGTTTTAAGGCCTGTGCCGGGCTGGCCGAGAAGGAACAAGGCCGGGAGATCGACGGGACGATGGTAAAGACCAAGGCTCTCGAGAAAACCATGGCTTTGCACGTCCAAGCTTCTCGCAAGAACTTAGACTCGCACGACATCATGGTGGGGAACGCTCTGGTTGACGCCTATGCCAAGAGTGGGAGCCTCACGGACGCGAGCAGGGCCTTTGCGAGGATCCAGAAGCGAGACTTGGTGCTGTGGAACACGCTCCTCGCGGGACACGCGTCAAACGAGCAAGGAGAGGAAACTTTGGATCTCTTCTTCCAGATGATCATGGATGATCACACCGAGCCGGATGCTCGGAGCTTCGTGGCTGTGCTCAAGGCCAGCGGCACCATGGTCGCCTTGAGCGCCACCCGGTTGATCCACTCGGAGATATGCCGGCGTGGAGTCGCGGACGAGAACGAGATCATCGCGTGCTCGCTGCTGGATTCATACGCTCGGTGTGGAAGCATGCAGAGCGCACTCCAGGTATTCGATTCGCTTGCAAAGCCTGACTCGGTGCTGTGGACTGCGTTGCTTTCAGGATATAGCCGCGAGGGAAACACCCGGCTCGTGTTTGAGACGTTCTGCGCGTTTCTCGACCAAGGCTTTCGTCCAAACAGTGTGACTTTCGTGTGCCTTCTCACGGCGAGCAGCCACGCCGGCCTGGTCGCCAAAGGCCAGGCGATCTTCCAAGCGATGGAGCTAAAGTTTGGGATCCAGCCAGGGCCGGAGCACTACCTATGCATGGTGGATCTCTTGGGACGCGGTAACAGGCTAGACGAAGCCGTGAAGATGGTGGAAGCCATGGAAGATGCTACAGTCGGGCACTGGATGACCGTCTTGGGGGCTTGCAAGAAGTGGAAGAACGTAGAGATGGCAAAGCTCGCTTTCGAAAAGGTCGTGGAGCTGGACGAGAGAGATCCTGCTGCTTACTCGCTCATGCTTGCGACTTATGCGAGCTTGGGGATGTGGCAGGAGATGCCGCGAGTTTACGAGATGAGGAGGAAAGGTGGCGGGCTTGCGAGGCCGGGATTGAGCTGGTGGACGGACGAGACGGGGGCAGTGCACAAGTTCGTGGCCGGGGACGTGCGGCATCCACAGATGGAAGAGATCCAGCGAAAGTTGGGAGAGCTCGCGGTGAAGATGAACGAAAAAGGCTACGTTGCGGACTTGGCGAGCGCTGCGAGGAAGAGAGCTTCCGATGCCGACAAGGAGAGGTCGCTATGTTGTCACAGTGAGAGGCTGGCGATCGCGTGTGCGCTCGTGAATTCCTCCCCCGGGACTACGATCAGGATTGCGAAGAACTTGAGAGTTTGCGACGATTGTCACTCGGCGACGGCGTTTTTTTCCAGGATTGAGCGGCGGGAGATCATTTGTAGGGACTCGAGCAGGTTCCACGCGTTTCGCGATGGTGCTTGTTCGTGTGGAGACTTCTGGTAAGATTAAAGAGGTACTTTCATTCGCAAAAACGTTTTCCATTGCAACTCTAAGCTAAGAACTTGTTTGTAGCTAAAACAAGCTCTCTTGCTATACCTTTCTCATACATGGAATGGCCAGAATCTCCCACTGCGAGTATCACCAGTTTAAAACCTTTGCGAAAAGCTTCTCAAGCATACCGATTTTCAGCTCAGCCTCTGGCCACGCGCAGTGAAGGTCGACCGCATTCTGGAAAGACGAAGCTTCCTGTAAGAACTAGCAGAATGGGAAGGAAAGAATCGCGAATGACTCACAACAACGGGACAGACAAAATCGTAGCGACCATGGATGATCACACAAGGAATGTGTCTGATCCTCCTTACTCCTTCCAAGAGCTGCTGGTCTTTCAGGAATCCGTTTCTCATCTGTGGATGTGTTAGCAATGAAACAAAGAAGAAGAGAAAGAGAAAAAAGGAGAAGAACTTACAGAGTAATGGCATTCTAGCCTTGCTTGAACAACTTGAGAAGGCATTTTTGCATCGCCGGTAGGAAGCCACTCAAGAGTTTGATGATCTACGAAAAAGAACATGCAATGGTCGTGAGAAACAATTCTTATCAGTGTTAGACTACTAACTTGTTTTTTCTTCCGCGGTTAGGCTCAGGATCTAGCACGAAACATGAAAAGCCTGCAAGTATTAGAAGCAACAAAAAGATCAAACAGCCACGAAGGATTACAGCAATACTCTTACTTTTCCGGAAGGATTCGAGTATTGCTCTCCATTCCAAGCGAGCGATTGTTCTACTGAGAAGAAGCTAAGAGCCATCTCCCATGAAAACCAGGCCCGACTCTGGAAATACCAGTTATTTTAGAAGACGAAACGAGAGCTGGATTCTTACTGCTGATAGCTGGCGGGAGGGATCAGAGGAAGTCAATCTTTTGTAGAACGACGTCAAAACATCGTTTTGTTCGTCCGGCTCAAGAACTGACACGAAGTTCTTCCAAGAGAACGGGAAGATCGAGCTTGCACCGCCCTGGTAAAGAAAAGTAAGGTGAAAAAAGAAAAGAAAAACTCTAAGCTCAAGTCCAAACTTTCACCTGTTTGTAGATCCAATCGATCTCCCTCTGGCGAAACAAGCACACTCCTCGCAATATAAGCGCATGGACAACTTGTGGATAAGCTTGTGCGTAGGCAAGTCCCAGCGTTGCACCCCAAGAACCACCAAGAACAAGCCATCTTTCGATAAGAAAAAACAAAGAAAGAACGATTGAGTGACGAGATCCTTCTTGGAGAGTTGAAAGTAAAGAGAGAAAAGTTCCAAGATGACGAACCTCTCGACGTTCAAATGCTTCCGTAGCTTCTCCAGATCATCCACAAGGTCCCAAGTCGTGTTCTCTTGGAGGCATCCTTTCGGCGTGGATTTGCCACAGCCTCTCTGATCAAGCAGCACAATGTGATAGCGCTGGGAATCGAAGAACTGTGCATGCCTTCGTGTGCATCCAGCTCCTGGACCTCCATGAAGAACTGCAAAAAAAATTTTTAAAAAAAAATCCACTTGAGAACTCACAGATTTCTACGCAAGTAAGACGCTCGATCGATCACCACTTACACACGGCTGATTGTCCGCAACGATTTCCAAAAGTCTCATAGTAAATGGTGTGGAGCTCCGAGACTTTGAGGTAGCCATTAGAGATGCTGGAGCTGGGAGCAAACAAACTGGAAGAAACCGCGGCTCTACAAACAAAACGAAACATAAAAGACTTTGGGTCGATGGGTAGCAAACCTGGAGGATTGGAGCGACACATTTCTATGGTGGTGATGGACATAGCCGCCAGTGGAACCAAAGAACACCATCGCCATTCTTGGAAGAACTTAGGTCCTTCCTTTTGGAGCCAAAACGAGAAAATGCGGTGAGCGTGGATCGAACACGCGACCTTCAGATCTTCAGTCTGACGCTCTCCCAACTGAGCTATCCCCGCTTATCCGTAAAATTAAATCTTATTATCAGATTTAAGCACGATTTGTTCTTAAGCTAAACGAAAGGCGAAAAAAAATATATTCCCTTGATTCGTATCATCAAGCTCTTGTCTATGGCCGAAGAAGATCAAACTGGGGACAGGAGCTGCGATTGCGAGGATGACAGATCCCCAAAATCCGTGCTGCTCTCCTCCTTGTTCTTCCCGGGCCTGGCATCCCCCAGCATTTGCACAACATCCCGCATCGTCGGCCTGTCCACCGGGAGATCGCTCGTGCACAGCAGCGCCACTCTCAGCACCAGCATGATCTCCTGGAGCGGCAAATTCTCCTCCCGGATCCGCGAGTCGAGCACCTCCAGCACCCCGTCCTTGGTCTGGATCTTCTTCCTCACCCATTGGACAATGTCCACTCCATCGCCAAACTCCGGCTCGATCGGCCGCCGCCCCGACACGAGCTCCAGCAGCACCACTCCAAAGCTGTAGATATCGCTCTTCTCGTTCACCTTGAGCGTGTAAGCATACTCTGCGAAAGTTCCCAAAAGTTCGTTAGAACCGGACACTCAAGAACCCTAAAAAACCACCTCAAGAACCCTAAAAAACCGTCTCTCACCTGGGGCGATGTAGCCATAGGATCCGGCGATGGAGGACATGGATTCCGATTTCCCCGAGTCCTGGAAGAGCTTGGCGAGGCCGAAATCCGCGACGCGCGCCTGGAACTCGGCGTCGAGGAGGATGTTGTTGGATTTGACGTCGCGGTGGACGATGAGCGGCGAGCAGTCGTGGTGGAGGTAGCACAGCCCATTGGCGGCCTGGAGCGCGATCTTGTAGCGCGTCGCCCAGTCGAGCATCACGGCGCCCTTGCTGGATCCATGGAGCGCCTCCCCGAGGCTGCCATTGGGCATGTATTCGTAGACGAGGACGTTGGTCTCCTTGTTGGAGCAAAACCCTAGGAGCTTGACGATGTTGCGGTGCCGGATCTTTCCCAGGGTCTGGACCTCGGCCGAGAATCCGTGATCGCTGTGGCTCATGGAGCCGCCGATCTTGCCGCGCGCTACCCCTGCCGCGGCCGCGGGATTGAATCCCGAGAGCTTCTTCACCGCCACGATCTCGCCGGATGGCATCACGCCCTTGTAGACGATGCCCGATCCGCCGCGGCCGATGATGTTGTCCTCGTTGCTCAGGCATTCCAGGATGTGGGCGACGCTGAATCCCCCCAGCTTCTGGAACGCGGTGAGCTTCCAGGCCCCGGCGCCGCGCGATCGCGGGCGCAAGAACCCTAGCCGGCAGAGGTAGCGTCGGTACTTCCGGAAGAAGCAGCACACGCCCACCACCAGCACCAGCAGCGCCGCGGAGAAGAGCGCGCCGACGAGCCACGCCAGGAGCTCCGGATCGCTGCGCCCGCGCCCATGGCCGCCATAGCCGCGAGAATTAGGGTTCTTGGGGCACGGCCCCAGCGGCGCGCCACACAGCCCGAGATTCCCCACGTAGCTGCTGCGATTGAAGGCCTGATCCGTGGCCGGGATGGCGCCGCTGAGGCGATTGTAGGAGAAATCCACCGAGTTGAGGCTCTGGAGCAGCGCGATCCCCCGCGGGATCCCGCCCGAGAATGCGTTCCTGGAGAGGTTGAGCACGCCCAGCACCTCGAGCGCTTCCAGCGATCGCGGGATCTCGCCGGAGAGCTGGTTGACGCTGAGATCCAGCATTGTGAGCGAGCGGCAGCTGCCGATCTCTGGAGGAATCCCTCCCGAGAAGAAATTGTGAGTGAGATTGAGCTGGAGGAGCCATTGCATCCGCCCCAGCCCCGCCGGCACCGCGCCCGCGAGGCGATTGTAGGAGATCTGGAGCTCCTTGAGCATGGAGAGCGCTCCAATCCCCTCGGAGATCTCCCCCCGGAGAAGATTCTCGCTCAGATCGATCTTCTCGAGCTTGGGCGCGGCGAATTCCTCGTCGCCCATGACCCCATCCAGCTTGTTCCTCATGAGCTCCACCATGTCGAGATTGGGCAGCGCGAACAGCCCCCGCGGGATCGCGCCCGAGAGGAGATTGTCGCCCAGCCGGACCTTCTCGAGACTAGCGCACGATCCCAGCCCCTCGGGGATGGATCCCGAGAGGCGATTTTGCTGGAGGATGAGCGTCGCTAGCTTCCCTCCCCGGCAGAGGCTGGATGGGACGCTCCCATTGAGCGCGTTCTTGGAGAGGTCGAGCATCCATAGCTGACCATTCCCGCCCAGGAACTCCGGGATGGCGCCCACGAATCCATTCCCCCAGAGGAAGAGCACCTCGAGATTGGGCATGTCGCCCACGAAGGAGGGGATCTCCCCGGAGAGATTGTTGCGGAAGAGATTCAAGAGCTTGAGCTCCTGGAGCTTCTCCAGGCTCGCGGGGATCCCTCCGGTGAGCTGGTTGCACGAGAGATCCAGCGATTGCAAGGCCCGGAGGCCGCCGATCGCGTCAGGGATGGATCCGGCGAGGGAATTGAGCTGGAGGAAGAGCGTGTCGAGGCGGCGGAGCCCCCCCAGCTCGATCGGGATGGAGCCATTGATGCCGGCGCTGGCGAGATCGAGGCGGCGGAGGCTCTTGAGCCGCCCAAACGATCGAGGGATTCCTCCGGAGAAGTGGTTGTAGTAGCCCAGGTAGAGCTGCTCGAGCGACTCGAGATCGCCCATCTCGGCCGGGATCTCGCCGCTAAGATCGTTGCCCGAGAGCGCGAGGTAGCGGAGGCTCTTGATGGATCCATACTCGCGCGGGATGGAGCCCGAGAAGAGGCTGCCACCCAAGTGGACGTGGGCGAGCAATGGCAGCGCCGAGAGGCCGATTGGCAGCGCGCCCGTGAAGTTGTTGTTGTAGGCGTCGAGGATCGCGAGCGATGGCGAGGCGGAGGAGAGATTGGCGGGGAAATCGCCGCTGAAGTTGCAGTGGGAGATGTTGAGGTAGCGGAGGAGCGGCAGCGCTCCCAAGAGCTCCGCCGGGAGGGCGCCGCCGAGATCGTTGACGTCGAGGGAGAGATTGGCGAGCGCGGAGAGGCGCGAGAGCGTGCCCGGCGCGATCGATCCCGAGAGGCTCATGTTGGAGAGCGTGAGAGAGGAGACGCGGTTCTGGGAGTCGCAAGTGATTCCTGTCCAGCGGCACGGCGTTGCGTCGGATTCGTTCCAATCGCGCAGGTGGGTCGCTGGATCCTCGATTGAGGCCTTGAATGCCAGGAGTGATTGGCCATCCGGTGTCAATCCCTCTGCCGCGGTCGTGAAGAACACGACGATCGCCAAGAACAGGGGAGTGATGGGCGTCATCCCTGATTTGGCGATCGCGATGGGAATGGAATGTCGTTGATCTTGGGACGAGGAGAGCTAAGCTAGAGCTGGACAGTTCACCTGATTCGCGATGACGCGTCGCGCTCGCCCGCCATAGCCAGGAAGAATCAATCAAGCTATGGTGGCGATGATGAGCGCTGTGATGGAGGGGCAAATTCGGGGAATGGCAATGCTGCTCCCGGGCGAGTGTGCGTGATGGGGGGATCGATCTTTTGCGCCATTGGGTCCCTCACATTCGCTCCAAATCATCACTTTGACGCCGCGCTGTGGCTCGCACACTGTGGACAAAAGATTTGGGGAAGAACAGAGTGTCGAGAGGAGGGAGAAAAAGATGGAAAAAAAAGTTCTTTTGTTTGTTGCTCGTCGTCTTTGTGTCAGATCACTGCTGAAAAGAGAGAGGGGCGAGCTGTGCGCGAATCATCCACGGATGCGCAGAATGACCCAGGGGAAAAAATCGCTAGAAAAAAAAGAAAAGGAAGGACCGAGAACTCCTCGCTACACAGCACTAATCCGTGAAAGCTATGGCGTGTCTGTTGGTCGGTCCCCAGCTCCAGCGGAAAAAAACTAAAAGAAAGCCCTCTTTCTCGATCGATCGATCGATCGATCTATCGATTGTTCGCTTCGTCGTCGTCCCCCTCTTTCTTTTGATTTCTAATCACCACCCGCACTAGCACACACACACTCTCGAGAAGAACAGTGAAAGGGCGCGAATCAATGCGGGGCCTGGCGGCTGCAAAGACGAGATTCTAAGACCGCCCAATTCGACCCATCATCCCGATGCATCGACCAAAGCCGCCAGAGATCCAGCAATCCAGAGAAAAAAGATATGAAATCTCTCTCGCGCGCAATCGCAATCAGCTGGCGGCCGAGCTCTCAAGCTCCAGTGCTATGCCTAGGACTGAGACGAAAAGATGAGAAATTCGAGATTCGAGATTCCTCTTTTGGCCGCGACTCGCGAGGAAGAAGAGGAGAAGAAGAAGAAGAACCCTAGAAAGCTATGAGATGCGTACTCCTGACTGACACAAACAAATTCTGGCAGTCAAAGGGGAGAAATTACTCGCTGCGATCTCTCTGCGATCGCGCGCAACAATGTCGACTGCTAGACGACGCAGAGCTCACGGACAGTGAGAGCGATGTAGGCGATCGATCAAGTCACTGTGTTTCTTCGTTTTTCTTTTTCTCTTCTTTGGAGGTTTCGATCAATCGACAGCGCTGGGGATGAAAACAACCCCCCCCGACGCGAGCGTTTTTGAGCGTTTTTAATTCTCCTGGCCGAGCCAGCTCTTATCTTCTTCTTTTAGGGTTCTTGCCCGCCTTTTAGGGTTTACAACAATTTCACCTGGCACATTTACTGCGCACTTCAATGTAGTAAAAACTGGCAGTGCTGTCCTTGTTGTTTGATTTACATGAAATTACTTTTGACTGCGCCCGTGCGACTTCTAAAATCCCGCTTAAAACTTAACTCTATCTAATCCAAGGACGTAGCGTAGGTAGTAGGTACGGCGCGGGTGCATGCATGGGTACGTACGGGATACCCCACCTTCTACGTCGCCGTCAACTTGAATGAAAAATATTTTGATCCTGGCCTGTGTTCGTATGATTTTAGGGCTTTGTGTCACTCTCGGAGAGTTCTTTGTCACCAGGGGGATTATTAAATCGCTCGCTCGCTGCTTAAAGAATCGAGACAAGGACGCTATAGCATATGACAAAGAGACAAACTCCTCCAAAAGATTATGCGATTCGAGGCATGTGATGAACACTCTCTGCTAAAATGGATCAAAACGCGAGGGCGATTGACAAAGATGAGCGAGCGTCTAGGCCTAGCAGACAATAAACAAGCCAAAGCGCTTGTTCGCAAATCGCGATCTCCAAACCTCGTGCTTTGGTCTAAGTTATCAACTTGGTCTAAACAAGACTTGCAGCCAGGGACTTTTTACGGAAGAGGTAAGCGCGATAAAACAAGGAAAACTTTACAGGATTGCGTAAGCCGGCGATGAGAGCAATGAGATGAGATGAGATGAGATGAGATTCACGTTGCCACGGCTCCCGTGACGCAAGCTCTTTGACCGCGATGAGTCCATTCAATCCCATTAAAAACACTTTAGGGCTTTCCTCCAGCGCGGCGTGTACGGTGATTCCGAGCAAAGTGTTGGAAACATGTCTTCGGAGGAATCTGCGTGCTGTCTTCCACTCAAAAAGCCAAGAACGCGAAATTATTCCAGATACTATAGCATATTCTAGTTCAGAGCATCTTTCTGTAATATGCTAATTTTTAAATTTTTATTCCAGGGCGGGAATTGAACCGAGAACTTGGAATGCCAGGTGTTGAATCTGCCGCGCTCGGTTTCATGCACGAATTGCCGCCACCTTCGCTGGTTTTTAGGTCTTTCACTTCTTCTTCGTCGATCCTTGGGTGGCGAAGCGAGAAGAAGGCGCGCGATTGGAGTGGATTGAGAGGAAATGCTGGATTCTTCCTCCTCTTCCGGGGGAGAGATCACCAAGGAATGGCTTCGCAAGCACTGCCGGAGATTAGGGCTCTATGTCACGCCCTCTCTCAATGACAAGCTCTATCTCCACTACCAGGGCTTTGGAGAGATCAAGAACCTGGAAGAATACACTGTGAGCGATCTTTGTTTTCTTTGATTGCTACATTTTCATGGTTTTGCTTGTGTGCAAGCCAGGGACTGAAGATGCTGTTCCTCGAAGGGAATTTCTTTGAGTCTTTGGATGGTCTACAGCCACTGGCGGAATTACGATGCTTGTAGGTAGTCTCTCTAAAACTTCTAGTTTTCTCAGTTTCGATTTGAACGCGGAGAAAAAAAAAAAAAAACCTCTTTTCCAGGTACGTCCAGAAGAATCAAATTGCTTGTATCAACCATCTCGAGGATCTTAAAATGCTGGACACCTTGGATCTCAGGTTGGTCGCTTCTTCTCTTCCACGAACTTCTCTTGTTTGAAGCTCTCGTTTTGCTCGATGATGCCGACAGTAACAACTGCTTGAAAACGCTCGAGAATCTCTCGGCTTGCCCGAGCCTCAAGGTCCTGCAAGTCTCAAACAACTATCTCAAGTCTGTGGAATCCATCGAGCACCTCAAAGACTGTACCTCGATATGGTAAGCATTGTCATCTCTTTCTTCCAGCTTGTGGTTGTGACCCTCGAGCTTGGAAAACTCCATGAAGCGTTCTCGACGTATCGTCCAACAAACTTGACGATGGAGAGGGAGTTTTGGGAGTTCTTAAAGCCATGCCCGAGCTTACCGTGCTTTACTTATCCGGTAATCCATGCGTAACGAACCTGCAGCCCTATCGCAAGGTAAGTCCATGTTTTAAACTTGAGAGAAGCTTACCACTTTGCTGTAGACTGTGATCTCGAGTCTTCCCAAGCTCAACCATCTGGATGATCGGCCAGTGTTTTGGGACGAGCGTCTTTGTGCCGAGGCTTGGTAAATGAGCTCGCTTGATCTTTATCTGCCCTGCCCTGTTGAGTTGTAAGACCACTGCAGGGCCAGAGGTGGATATCAAGCTGAGCAAGAGGAACGAGAGCGTGTTAAAGCTATAAGGAGCGAAATGGAGATAAAGCAACTGGAAAGTAAGTTTGTTTACCTGATGAAGAAGTTCTTTTGAGAGAGACTTGTGGCACAGGCATGAGAAAGATAAGAAACGATGCTCTCGAAGAAAGAGCCCGGTTGGAAGCTGTGGAAGCGATGGAGGAGGAGGAGAGAAGTACCAAGGACGCGCAAGTTGAGGCATGCTTTCAAAGTCGGGAGTCTACCGCTGTAGCCGAGGAGGTCGAAGAGGAGCTGGAGACTTCTGGCTCCGAGTGTTTCACTCTGGACAGTGATACTGAGAACTACAACGACATCGAGCTTACACGATCAGACGAGCAGAGGCTTGGCTCGGATACTCCTGTGACAAACGAGGAGATGACAGAGACCAAGGAGGACGAACGAAAGGACAGTTCTGGGACGATAGAGAACCTTAGTCCAGAGACAAAAGAGGACGAACAGAAGATTTTCTCGAAGAAATCTCAGGACGAACGAGTGCTTAACTTGAACACAAGGGAAGACGAACACACGGTCAGTGAGACCAAAGAAGAGGACGAACAGAAGCTTAGCTCGGCAGCCGATGCAAAGGACAATAGTGTCTGTTAAAATTGAACGGACAAATGTAGAATCAGCAAAATTTCAGCCTCCCTAGAAACCACTCACAGAAACCACATGGCCATGTGATGCGAAAGCTATGGTACAGGCGAGAGAGTTACTCACACGCTTATTACTCTTGTGAATCTTCTTTCACTTTGGAAGGTCATGGAGGAACTCGACGAACTCGTCAATCAGATATGGCCATGCTCCCTCGGAGTCGTAGTTGGAAAGCGATGAATCAATCGACTGCCAGGGAAGATATCACGCAAATTAGTTTCACAGACTACAAAGCGCTTACTTTGGAGAACTCGAACAGCTGCGACCACGTATCTTTCGATATGGCCTTGTTGTGCTTAGCCTGCGATTCACATGTATAACTTAGTTTCTCAACCAAGGTTCGAATTGTATACGTACTTGTAAAAACTGGCACCAAGGCTCTACCAGCGGCCAAGGATGCTCGTTAAACAGTAGGCGCCACATACCCAACGCCGTATCTAATGCAAGCGATTTTTGACCCTGAAAGATCCAGCATAAGCCCACTTGGACAAAAAGAAACACAAACCTTTTCCTTGGCCCAGTTGAATGCAAAGTTATAAATCTCTCGAAACTTGTCTGCAACCATGTAGAAAGCGTTTGCAATGAGAAAGCTAAACGCATGGTGAGGGTTAGAAAATCATACTAAGTGAGAAGGCCTACGTTCTTCTTTAAGCTCTGCCCGAAGGGACGGAAGAAGTGACTTTAGCTTATCGATGGAGTCCACCCTGAGCGAGACACCGACTTAGAACGATCATGATCATCGAAGGATAGAAACCAAAAACTCACCCAAGAGATTGAAAGCCAGTGATGAACTCTTGCCTCGAAAACTCACACATTGTGGCCGCTCCCATATGCCACGAGATGACGAGCATCACAACATCTCCAGGGTCGACTTTGAGATCGTCACAGAAAGCCGAGATGCCATCGACCAAGATCATATCCGAGAAACGATCTGAAAGTTGGAAAACAATGGATCGTCAAAGAAAAGAAAAGTTTTCCATCACCCCATACCTTTGTAACGCATGTAAAGCTCCTCTAAGTGCCGAGGATCCGCCATTGGCTTGGACACTGGCTGGTTCGTATAGAAGTACTCGAAAGCCCCTTCCAAGTTCCAATCGCTCGCCTTCAGTGCTGTCAAGGAGGCCTTCTCACTGCCATGGAAGAACAACATCAACGAAGAACAAGAAGAAGATTCAAGCAAAACAAAAAAGAAAAGACAATCTCTACATACGTTGCTCCCGCGATTGACATGAACTGATGGACTTTGTCCCGCTGTGATCTCCCCAGCTTATGCTGAAAGAGCGCATCGATCAAGGAAATCGAAATTTGCGAAAGAAACCTAAATGGCGCTAGCATCGAATCGATGCGCCGCGCAAAGATTATGCTCGCAGTCGATAGAAACGTACCATCTTCGTGGTCGCGCCGCCCAGCGCTAGGTCTCCCTCTCTCTCCTATCTCTCTCGCATTCCCTCGTACGAAGGAGCTATATACGCGAGTGTTATTTTCCCCTTCCTTGTATAATCAGGTTTGAACCCTAGACCTAAAGATCTTTATAAAACGAATATGCTTTAAACATGCTTTAAGCATATTCTTTGGATATAGGAAATCTTTGTCCGGTATTGAACCCCCGACGCCTGGGGAATAAAGACTTTGGCTATGGTAGACTACCACAACGAACTGTCAAGGCGATGGCGATGGCGGCGTCTCCCGGAGCGTCCCATTTGCATGCCAGATCGGGATCCTCGAGGTCGCCAGCGAATCAGGCGCTCTCCGCCTCGTCGATCGCATTGCCGCAGCGGTGCATCGAGTGCCGGATTTCGTCGGCGTCGTCCCCCAGCCAGCGCCAGATCGTCCACGCCGTCGCCAGGGAGCCGCTCAAGGTGATGATCTCCGGCGCGCCGGCGTCGGGCAAGGGGACGCAGTGCGAGCTCATCACGGACAAGGTATGCCGATCGTCCTCCTTCTCTTTGCCCCGATAGGATTTTGCGCATTGGGGCCTGGACGATCGATCTATGGGTCTCCACGGCACGATATTTCGACCGGAAGTCGATCGATTGATCGCTTGATTTTCATTTGTGTCTAACTCACAAGTTCTTTTGTGTGATCACAGTATGGTCTTGTACACATAGCAGCTGGAGATTTACTGCGAGCCGAGGTAGCCGCGGGTACTGAGAATGGAATCAAAGCGCAAGAGTATATGAACAAAGGCCAGCTCGTTCCAAACGAGATCGTAGTGTCAGTAAGAACACTTACTCTAGCCTCTTATAGTTCTAATCTAACACGAGTTATTCATCGTTTTGTGCTTGTTTTGTTCTAGATGGTGAAGCGAAGACTGGAAGAGCAAGACGCGCAAGAGAAAGGCTGGCTGCTGGATGGCTACCCGCGAAGCGTGTCGCAAGCCGACGCGCTGGAAGCTCTAAACATCCGGCCTCACGTCTTCATCCTCTTGCAAGTAAGTGGTCGTTTAGTTTTTCTTTGTCTAACCTGAAACGATCGAGCTTCTCTTACCGATTTTTATCCAGGTTCCCGAGGACATTCTCGTGGAAAGAGTGGTCGGTAGGAGATTGGATCCCGTCACGGGAAAAATCTACCATCTTACGTATGCTCCTCCCGAGACTCCAGAGATCGAAGCTCGGCTAACTCAGCGAAGCGACGACACGGAAGAGAGGGTAACGTAGCATTAGAAACTTTCCCTGACTAAGTTTTCTCTTTGATTTTCTTCCTCCAGGTGAAGCTCAGGCTTAAAACTCACCGGCAAAACGTCGAGGATGTGCTATCGATCTACTCAGACGTGATTGTTCCTGTAAGTTTTGGATCGATCACAAGCTCTTTATTTGCTGAGAAGTCTCGATTTGTTTGACACAGGTGGATGGAAATCGGCCCAAAACCGAGGTTTTCTCGAGCATCGATTCGATTCTAAACGAGATGGTACAAAGCGAGCAATTAGGAGAGGCCATGAGCTCGAGCTAAAGAGCAAAATAAAATTTTTTGGCGAATATGCCCGTAGATTCTTTACAAAGAATATGCTTAAAATACTCGTTAATGTGGGAGATGCTTATAGTGGATTCTTTAATGGCCAAATTCTAGGGTTGTTGCGCTTGTGGCGATGGCGATCCTCGAGTCCCCGCGCGTCGGCGCTGGAATGCTGGATCGCATCCGATCCCTCACGGATGTCGGCACCATGAATCGGATGCTCCACGAGAGCATTGCGTACGAGCGCAGCATCGACGGCGAGCTGGAGAGCCTCCTCGCGCAGCGCCAGGAGGTGGAGAAGAAGCTGCTAGGGCTCCACCGGACGGGCGAGGTGCTGGAGATCGTCCGCGCCGACGCGGAGCAGATGCTCCGCAGCGTGGAATCGACGTGCTCGCTGGCCAATCTGGTGAGTGGCAAGGTGAGGGAGCTGGATCTGGCGCAGTCGCGGGTCCAGGAGACCCTAGCCCGGATCGAGGCGATCGTGGATCGCGGCAGCTGCATTGACGGCGCCCAGAAGGCGCTGGCGAGCGAGGATTACGAGTCGGCGGCCAGGAACGTGGAGAGATTTCTCCAGCTCGAGGAGAGGATGGGGGGCCTGGTGGATCCCGCGAGTGACCAGCACGTCCAGCTGCTGGAATCCAAGAGGAAGCTGGAGGAGGTGATCAAGAAGAGATTCTACGCGGCAGTGGACGCGAGAGATCACGCCGGGGTGGTGAGATTCGCGTCGCTGTTTGCTCCTCTTGGGCTCCACGAGGAAGGGATCAAGGCCTACGTGAGCTACCTGAGGAGATCGGTGGATCATCGCGCTCGCGATGGCTTCGCGGCCGTGAAGGAGACTCCAGACCAGGCGGACTTTGTGGCGGCGCTCAACAACATCTTCAAGGACATCGCCGAGGCGATCGAGGAGAACGAGGAGCTCCTCAAGAGCTTGAATGGAGAGGATGGGCTCGTCTACGCGATCCTGGAGCTGCAAGAGGAGTGTGACTCGCGCGGCTCGGCCATCGTGAAGAAGTATATGGAGTTTCGCGGGCTGGCCAAGCTGGAGAAGGAGATCATCGCGCAGACAAACGCGGAGAAGGACATCGTCGCGCAGTCCAAGCTCTTGATGTCCGCCAGTGGCGCTGTCGAGGGGCCGGATCTCCGCAGCATCGAGATGTTCTTGGAGGAGATCCTGCTCTTGATCCAGACCAGCGAAGACTACACGCAGTATATGATCGGGAGAGTGAGGGAGGCTGGATCTTCCGGAGCTCACTTCAGCCCGCGCGCCACCACATCTTTCAAAGTCGGGAGCTTCTACCGCGCGGTGCAAGAGCTGACGAGCCACTATCGCTTGCTGGAGGAGTACTTCATGGCAGAGAACGTCCGCAAGGCGATCAAGCTGGACGAGTTCCCGGCCAATTCCCTGACGACTTCGGTTGTGGACGACGTCTTCTACGTGCTCCAGAGCTGCACCAGACGCGCGGTCTCCACGTCCAACGTCCATCTCACGCTCTCGATCGTCACTTGCGCGGCCAACCTACTGGGAAACGAGTACAAGGACGCGCTCCAGAGGAAGATGCGCGAGCCAAACCTGGCGATGAAGCTCTTCGCCGGAGGAACAGGGGTGGTGAAAGTGGGAATGGAGGTGGCGGCGGCGCTAAACAACATGGACGTGAGTGCCGAGTACGTCCTCAAGCTAAAGGCCGAGATCGAGGAGCAGTGCAACGAGGTAAGCGGTGCTTCTCGTTTGCTTTCGTCTTTTCTCACGGCTTTAGCAACAGATCTTCCCCGGCCCCGCCGAGAGGGAGAAGCTCAAGTCCTCGCTACTGGAGCTGGGCGAGGCGAGTGTCTCGTTGCGGCAGATCACAAACTCGGGCCTCGAGCAGCTCGCCAACTGCATCGCCCCTCGGCTGCGCTCCACGCTAGACGCGGTGGGGACTGTTTCTTACGAGCTCACCGAAGCACAGTACGCCGAGAACGAGGTGAACGATCCGTGGGTCCAGAAGCTGCTGCACGGAGTGGAGGCCAACGTGAGCTGGTTGCAGCCGCTGCTCACGGCCGGGAACTACGACACGCTCGTCCACCTCGTCATCGACTTCATCGTGAAGCGGCTGGAGGTTGTCATGGGCCAGAAGCACTTCAACCAGCTGGGGGGACTGCAGCTGGACAGGGACGCGCGAGCGCTGGTGGGGCACTTCTCGGGGATGACGCAGAGGACGGTGCGGGACAAGTTTGCGCGGCTCTCGCAGATGGCCACCATCCTCAACTTGGAGAAGGTGTCGGAGATCCTCGACTACTGGGGGGAGAACTCGGGGCCCATGACGTGGAGGCTCACACCCAACGAGGTCCGTCGCGTTCTGGGGCTCCGGCTGGATTTCAAGCCCGACGCCATCGCCGCGCTCAAGCTGTGAGCCATAGCGACGTCCGAGTCTCGATCGATCGATGGGAACTTTTGTCCGTCGGGTAGAGGAGAGAAGCTCAGCTCCCCCCCGGAAAGGTCCAAGACTCTTTCCAGGAGGACGACGTTCCAGCGCTCGCCATCGCCATTGCTCCAGCGGTTTCTCTTGCGGCTTTAATTTTCTCGTTGGAAAGGTATGTTTGCGAGCTGAGCGTTTGGATCCATCACCTCTTTTTCTTCTCTCTTTTCTTTCTTTTTTCTTTGCAGGAAGATGGCTTGAATGAATTTGTAGCTGGCAAGCACATGTAACTGGCGGCTGGTGGCCAAGGATGGAGCTTTCATTCACACTGGAGATTCCACTGTGTTGGTAGAATATTCTCCCTTTATAAAAAAAATTCTACTCTGTTGGTAGAATATTCCTCCATTTTTAAAAAAGAGAACTATACACGCTTGGAAACCAACGAACTCCCTGGCGCGAGAAACAATCCATCCATCCGTCCATGCGTTTTTTTGTTTGGATCTCTCTCACGCTTTGTACTTACAAAACAATATCATTCACCTATCATTCATCTCGTTCCATTGTCTCGAGATTGATCGATTCGCTTCCACTCAATTCTTTCTCTCTTTTTTTTTTTGGGTTTCTTCGCACTCTTTCTATCTGGTGCTGGCTGCCTGGCTTGATTTTTTCCGTGATCGAGTCCTGTCCAATCCAGGGGAAACCATTCTTTTTCTCGCGATCACGATTCCAGAATCGAGTTGTTCCTGGATTTTTTTTCTTGCCTTTCCCCTGTTCCTCGCTTTGCGCCCCGCCGCTTGTGAAGGATCATAGCAGCAATGCTTTCCTCTCCAGTGGAGCGAAAGCACCACCTCCCTTTTCACGCAAAATTCTTCGCCTTTGCTGCTGCTGCTGCTGCTGCGATGGATGATAACTTTGTGCCGGTGTGTTCCTGCTGTTGAGCACTGGCGAGCATTAACAAAGCCCCCGGAAAAAAGAAGACCTGCTGTAGCACGATCCTGATCCCTGACGATGTAGAGATATATATCCCCATCCACTGCTGCTTACCACCACCACCACCACACCTTTCTCGCTAGCTAGAGCCGATCCTGTCCAAAAAATTTATGTACCGAAGGCCTGATTGCCAGACGCCAGCGCAATCTCACCACCACCTGGAGATAGATCCCCACTGCTCTTCCCATCTTTTCCTCCTTTCACGACAGCTCCTTCCTCAGCTTTCGAGAGAAAGGCTGGCAGGCGTCGATGCTCAAGTCCACCGCGGCTGCCAGAGCCATGAACACCGCTGCGTCCTCGGCGCAGGTGATGTGCCGCATCGCCAGCTGAACCAGCGGCCTGCCGGAGGAGCTCTGCCGCTCGCCCCGCGTCGTGCAGCTCATCACGAATCCCCCCGACGCCGGCAGCCCGACGTTGATGAAGTTGCAGTCTCCGCTGCTGCGGGGGCTCTGCACGGGAGTTCTCGCCGGCGACGGCGTTGCCGGACGAAACCTCGCCGTGTCGATCGAGAACTCTCCCCCGGAGTGTGAGCTGATGACCGTCTCCGAGACCAAAGCGCCCCCAACGTTTGCCGTGCCGCCACCACCATTCTCCGCAACTAGCTGGAAACGAAGCCCGAGGCCACCTTTGCTGCCTCTTTCTTTCCACGCCTCGAGTCTCCCCCACGGCTCCCAGCTGTCTCCACTTGTGGAATCCGGGCGGAGGATGAGCCAGGCCCCGGGATTGGAGCGGCTGACGCGGTCACTCCCCGCCGACGGCACGAAAGGTGTCACCATTGACGCAGCAGCCACGGGGGAGCCGGATAGATCATGGATCATGATCAGCCACCCTTTGCGTTCCTTCCTCTCCTTGTGATCATGGCCTCCCAATGGACCCGACCACTTCCCCGCACCGCTACGAGGAGTCTCACACAGTCCCAGCCTGAGAGAAAAAATCCAAAGAGTTAGACCACCAAACTCTCTCCAGGAAAAACTCTGACAAGCTCACCTTGATCGGCTCAGTCTATCCCTGCTGAACTTGCAGCTGAAGAGCGGTTGCGTGATCTTGCCTTGAATCTGCACGATCTGGGGGCTGGCCACCGTCTCCCCATCAAACTGGAAAATGTAGCGAGGATCCGCCTCCACTTTGATGACGAGATGGAGCTCGGCTCCCGGCTTGCCATCGGTGGAATTCCCCTTGCCAATGCCCGTCCAGCCGCTGTGGAGCTGGATGGGCTTTCCTTCCATCCACTGCGAGCTCACCGGCAGCGAGAATGTCCCCATGAGCTTCCCTTCTTTCACTCCACACCGAGTTCCCTGCCGTCCAGTGTAGACCAGAACTTCCAGGCATGGAAACGAGCTCTTGAAGCACGAAGTTGGCGAGAGGAGCTTGTCGAGAGCCGACTCGTCGAGGTAGAAGTTGGCGGCGATGCCGCGATCCGGGGGTGGCGACGTGGGCGAGACGAGCGGCACTGGCGTGGTCTGGACTGGGTAGCCTGGAAGCCGGACCTCGCAGAAGAATGGCGATGTCGAGGAGTGGACTCCTGTTCTAGCGGGCTTGGAGGCGAGCGGCACCCGGACGCCCAGAGCACTCACCGAGAGCTTGATGAACGCGCGAGGATCCATGTCGATTGCTGGCGAGTGATCCTTTTGCCCATGCTCAGAAGATCGCTGCTATGTAGTGATGGAGTGCCATGATCTTTGGATTGATAGTGTGATCGCGGCCCGCCTCTCTTCTAGCCTTGGAAGGCACTGTAAAGGAATGCTTGCTTGCCTGGATAAATGCTGTGCTTTGCTCGTAACGTAAGCGAGGGAGAGAGAGAGAGGAAGAGGGGGAGATAGAAAAATCGGCAAGAGAATCGAAAGGGGAGAACCTTCCAAAAGCAAAATCCCTCGCAAGGATCCCGAATTCTTTTCTTTTCACTCTGCTATCCAGCAAGAACCCCAGGAATCGCGAATCGACGAAACGCACGAGAAAAGAGGAGAGGAGGGGGGAAGGAAACCTGGAGCGCCGCTGCGCGACCTTCACTCGAAATGCGCGTCGACGACCACCGATCCAGCCGCGAACAAAAGAAATCCCCTGAGAATCCACTGGAGCGCGGTAGAATATCGAGGATGGAGAGCAAGATTTCCGGCAGGGATTCGTGCGCGCCGGCCTGGGGCTCCTCGCTCGCTCTGGATGGATCGATCTCTCTAATAGGAGAGAGAGGGATTGAAAGAAGAGAGAAGAGAGAGAGGATCTTCCAGCCCAGTACACTACACACACAGCCAAGCCTCGCCTGTATTCCAGTAGGGTTTTTCGCGTTTTCTTGCCAATGCCGTGCCAACTCACACACCCCCTTTCACAGCCAGGCAATTAACAGCCTGGCGGGCAAATGGAGGGACCGGCAGTCCGCGACGGCAATATCCAGCAGCTAACAGCGACAAAAAAGCCCAGCTGACGTGGACTAGCCAGTTGTCTAAACCCTAACTCTTAGGGTTTTAACCCTGTTTTAGGGTTTTACCCACTTTTAGGGCTCTTGGAACTTTTCCCACGACGTGACATTGCTTCTGCGTGCGCCCTAACCGACACTAGGTAGGGGATCCCCGCAAGCAAGCATTGCGTGAACACCTGGCCGGTCCAATAGTGTTCTCGCTTGTATTGTCCGAGCGGGGCATCGATCCATCCATCCTTGTTCGCGTTGTTTGCTTTGGCCGCTCCAACAGTGATCGATCGGCCGTTTCCACGCGCTGCGAATTGGAGCCCTCCTCTGGATCGCGCGATCTTTGGCTTCCTTCATGGCGATTGGAGCTACTCTGGAACAATTAAAACCACGCGTGAGCGTCCGAGGAGAAGAACAAGAGGAGGAAGAAAGATTTATGGAGAGTACCATGGTGATCTGGGAGGAGCTCCCGCGGGATCTCGTGAGTAGCGTCGTTTCGTGGCTGCCAATCACCGACATTCTTCGATCGCGCACCATCTCCAAGCAGTTCCATGCGTGGATCAGCAGCATCAGCTTCCTGGACGAGATCGCTCGAGTTCCATCGCAAAGTTCTTGGCTGGTTCTCTTCCCCAGCTCCACACCATCCATCGCCAGTGCCTACGATCCATCGCTGGACTCCTGGCTCTCGCTTCCGGTCCCGCTGCAAATCCAGCCACTGGCTTCTTCCAGAGGATTGATCTGTGGAGCTCCAAAACCCGATCTTGGGAGCGGCAGTAGCAGGAGCAGCAAAGAACTCCATGTTTGCAATCTCGTGACGAGATCATGGGTGAGAGTTCCTCAGCCTCGGGAGATGTCGCGATTCTTCTTCCTCGTCGTCGGGATGGTTTCCACCGGTAGGAGCGGATTCACGATCGTCGTCGCCGGATCCGACCTCGTCTCCCACCACGCCTCCGCCAACTTCAAGCTCTCCGCCTGGGTGTTTGAGTCGCGCAGCTGGAAGTGGACGAAAGGTGGCACTGTTTTGATCGACGCGGCCATCTCGACGAGCAAGGCGATGAGCGACAGCACGCTGTTCGTCGTGTCTGGAAACCGCGAGCTCGTAGCGTATGATCTTGGTCGAGGAAGCTGGCGGCGTGTGGATCTTCCAGCGAAGGAGCTCACGTCAGTGAAGCTGGTTGATCGTCTGGGAAGGCTGGTGCTCGTTGCTCGCACTAACCAGGACGAGATCGCCATCTGGGAACTCCACCAAGAACAGCCCAGAAGCCGCAGCGATGGAGAGAAATCTCTTCCAAGCGATGATCCAAGCTTCTGGATAGAATTGGACAGAATGCCTCGGTGCTTGAGCGACGAGCTTCTTCTCAAATCACCGTCGCGAAGAATTGCGTGCGTTGGAAGCGGCGATATGGCTTACTTCTCCAGCACCAAGTGCGCATCGATCCTCGCCTACACATTCTCGACCAGGAGCTGGCGATGGACGAGCTGCTGCTCCCGCGTGACCAAGAATCCCCATTACGACATGCTTCGGGGCATCTGCCTCGAGCCCCGGCTGGAAATCAGCCCATCCAAGAAATTGTGAGAAACCCTGTAAGATTGTTCTTCCACTCCAAAAACATACCATTGGATTGAGATCTCTTTCGCCTCGTTCGCTTGCGGTAAGAAGCTGGAATGGATGGGGGCTCGAGCGAGCGCCTTCCAATCTCTCCGCTTGCGCTAGACCTAGAAATATTGCAAGAAATGTGAGCTTTGAGTTAAACCTAGAAGGGGGTTTTTCTTTCTCTTTGATGGAGTGATGGGAAAGAACAAGCGCGGCGCCCCCGCCAAGAGCAAGGGCAAGGGCAAGGGCAAGAGCAAGGCGCGGCAATCAATTACCAGCAATGCCAGCGACGACGGCGATGCGCTGCTCGACGAGGAGATCACCGCTTTGTAAGTTTCACGCGAATTGTAGCTCAGCCGACTGAATTCTCCTCGATCAGATCGGCGATATTTCAGAACGATTTCAGCGTTGTCGCGGATCATCCGATCAAGGAGATCACGATAAATCTTCGGTAAGATTTATCTTCGTGAGAATTTCTTTTTATCGAGTAGTTATCTTCCAGACCACATTCTGAGAATGACAACGATTTTGCTGCTCATCTCTTCGTAAGGTGGGCTTGAAAATTTGTCTAGCCGAAAATTCTTCGCGCACTTGGTGCTTGATTGCTAGGTGTTTTCCTGGCTATCCCTGGAAGCCCCCAAAGCTACAAATCGCAGCGAGTGATAAATCGCTGGAAACCGAGTGCCATATTCTACACGGAATGCTGGTAGAACAGGTTCGCAAACTGTAGTCCAACTCATTGTCGATCTAGCATTTTCGTTCTTAGGCTGCTTTGTGTGCTCGAGAAGGAAGAGTTATGATCTTCAATCTTGTTGAAGCTGCCCAGGAGTATTTCTCGGAATGTCTTGCCAACTTAGCTCAAGAGCAAAAAAAGGTAAATTCTCTGAGAATCTTGATTCTGACATGGCCATATCGTTTCATTTTGTGTGTCTAGGAGTTGGACGAAAGCGTCGCACAAATGTCCGAGCCTCCCATTGTCAAGGAATCAGAGCCAGTGAACTCTGATTTCGTCTACTGTGACTTATGGGAAAATAGTGGCACCTGGGAAGGCCCGGACAGTCTTCCCGCTGGACAGACTCCATTAGAAAAGGAGATTCCTTCGTCAAGTATTCCAAACAGACCCGGTTTTCGGAGACCACCAGCTTTAGTTTTACCAGAGCTAAAGCCGCAGGATTCAAAGCAACATATTAAAGGTTTAGATGCTGATAATGAAACCCGCGAAGCATCGGCAGAAGACGAGCAGTTATCTAAAGACGCGGCTGTGAGCGAATTTCTGCTTAAAGCATTCTCTGGCTACAAGGTGGCGCGAACTACGAGGGTACGATTTCTAGTTTTAGTCTTTACTAATTAGTGGCGCTTTTTGTAGCAACCGGCTATGACTTCTGAGGCACTGGGAACCGGAGGCGACGACGACGCCATATTTGCCATTCAAAAGGACTTGATTCTGGTTTGTGCATTTTTATAATTTTCTTGCCTGATATCGTTGCAGGTATATCTGCTTCGTTTGGCCTGTGGCAAGAAAGGTCCTCTACCGAATTCATTGTCCGAATTGACTTCTCAATTGTCACAACTCGGTGTACGTGATGTTTTTCGAGAGAATTTGCTGTATAAGTTTCTTTTTATGCAGATCATGCCATCGTGGGCCGAGGACTTGGTTTCTCGTCAACCTCAAATGTTTCAGGCAACATTCAAACGTATTTTTAAGCAGACCGTCGACAAGGATAATGTTTCGGAGTTTAAAGTAAGCATTGACATAATCATTGTTTGTGTTTTCTATTTCTAACAATGAACTTAGAGAAATTTGGAAAGGTTTTGGAATGCAAGTCCCGATTTGTTAGGAGAAAATGATGGCAATCTTGCAGCAATGAATTCGAGATACTTGTCTGACTTTGAAGAGCTTTGTTTGCTGGGTAAGGAAGAGCGTGATGGAATTTTCTTTTAAAAAAATTCTCACGTGTTTTACACAGGGAAAGGTGGATTTGGCCATGTAGTTTTGTGCAAAAATAAACTCGACGGGCGACGATATGCCATGAAGAAGGTCAAGCTTAAAGATGAAAACCCTTCCGACAAGATCTTGAGGTAAGTTATTGCCAGACTACAACGATCCTGAGACAAAATATGACAGGGAGGTTGCTACTCTTTCACGTTTGCAACATCAACATGTTGTTCGCTATTATCAGGTTTGAGTTTCCTGTTCGTTTCTATGCCTGTGCTCAATTAATATTCATATAGGCGTGGTTCGAGACAGCAGCAGGGGGTTCTTCTGGCACTCCCTATGGAGAAGAATCTGAAATTTCGTCAAGCTGGGTCGATACGGCGGGCTCCTCAAGCAACGATGTCAACACGGTTTCAACATTTTTGTACATTCAAATGGAATACTGCCCAAGGTTGGTGTTAATGCATTCTTTTTAGACCGTGTGACCATGTGGTTTCGATTTCAGGACGTTGAGAGAAGTGTTTGACACACGATCAGTTCTAGACAAGGAGTTGACTTGGGGAATTTTTCGTCAAATTGTCGAAGGCCTTTCACATATACATGGGCAAGGAATCATACATCGAGATCTTACGCCAAGTAATATATTTTTTGATACTCGAAATGATGTCAAGATTGGTGACTTCGGCCTTGGTAAGTTTCGCATATTACGTATCAAATCGTTTATGACAGGTGTGTGTGCAGCTAAATTTGCGGATCTGCAAAATCCTGATCAAGATCACCGTGTTCCTGTTAAATTTGAAGCAAACGTAAAGTCACTCGAAGGGACTGGCCAAGTCGGTACCTACTTTTATAGAGCTCCAGAAATTGAACAAGCTTGGCCACACATTGATGAAAAGGTTGGTTTTCTAAGTTAAGAAACTTTACTGATCTTTCCTTTCAGGTTGATATGTACAGTCTGGGTGTCATTCTGTTTGAGCTATGGCATCCATTCAGCACAGGCATGGAGCGTTATGTCACTTTGAACGAGCTGAAACAGCAAAATATTTTACCTTCAAACTGGGCGGCTAAGTTTCCGCACCAAGCAGCGTTGGTACATTTGCTAGTATCGCCTCATCCTCAAGACCGTCCTTCTGCACGGGACGTTCTGCAATCCGAGCTCTTGCCTCCTAGGATGGAAGATAAAGCATTGAAAGGTATTGCGACTTTTGGTTTCTACCTCACTTTTCTGGCTTTTCTCGTACAGATATCCTGCGAACCATCCACAGTGCCGATAATACTTTTGTTTTTGATCAAGTTATTGCTGCTTTGTTCGACGAGGAAAAACTAGCTTCGAAGACTGATAACGAAGCAAACCTTTCGATTGGTGACTTGGATCACCTTACGCCTAAATGGCTGACAGCACAAGAGCTGGTTATTGGCCTTACTAAAGACGTTTTTACGAGGCACGGGGCCCGCAAATTTCGAAGCCCAAGCATGACCGTAGCTTCTGATGTCAAGACATCAAACAGGTTGGCCTTTTTTTGTTGATCGGTTTAGAGGCTTACTTGTGCGCTTATAGATCTGCCGTCAAAGTTATTAACTCTTCAGGAACGATGTTTGAATTACGTTATGACACACGTCTTTTATTTGCGCGATGGGTTGTCCTAAATCAGGTGATGTGTGTGTGTCTGTTTCTTTCTTCTCAGACGTGCATAATGTTTTCCAGAGCACGTCATGGAAGCGCTACGAGATTTCTCATACTTACAGGAAAGGCGTGGGATATCGTGCGCCGAAGGAGTATCTTCAAGTAAGGAATGTTTTGGTTTACAAAAACACAAAAAGGATTGCTTGCAGGGAGACTTTGACATAATCGGCGGTTATCGTGCATTAGCCGAAGCCGAGGTCATCAAGGTAATTGACGAAGTCCTGCATGGCTGTTCTTTCTTACAATCCAAGCTACAGGCAGCTGCCGATATCATTTCCAGGGTGTCGTCTACTGAAACATGCGAGCTACGTCTTAATCACCTTGAAATTCTAGATACCATATGGAGCTGGAGTGGCGTAACCAGACAGCAAAGGAAGAATGTGGCTCAGGTATGCTCTTGGATTTTACTTTTGAGATATTTTCTGTGCTTTATTTCAGATACTTGGAACTATGACCTTCCTCCGTCCTCAATCAGCAGACCGGAAGGCCAGATGGGTTTTTGTTCGTCGGCAGCTTATCCAGGCATGCTAATACGTGCTTAAGCTTTGTGAGGCTCAGTTTTGCTGCAGGGTTTACATTTATCCGAAGCCGTGGTAGACAGGCTTCAAACAGCTGAACGTCGCTTCACGGGAAACGCGGATGAAGTTCTTGCTCGATTAAGAGGAGCTTTATCTAATAGTAAGATACTACTCGTGCTTAACAAGCATAACCTTTGATCAGGTCCATCGAGCATCGAAGCGATTGAAGAGCTCTCAAGACTACTAAGCTATTTGAGAAATTGGCGTGTAGAAATGTTACTTACGGTCGACGTTTTCATCGTTCCGAGTGATTACTACTTTAATGCCGCGTATTTTCAGGTGATGAATATGATTTTTGACTCAGCTAACAGTGCATGATATGTCAGATATATTTTCCTAGAACAAGCTACCCCGGAGCTCAGGGTATGCTACTTGCCGTGGGAGGCCGCTATGATTTACTTCTTGAACACCTCGCTAAGGATTATGGAGTAAGAACTACAACTATCCTTGCTTTCAATAACTTCACTTGATCAGGTACACACTCCACCAGGGGCAGTGGGACTGACTATTGCTTTGCAAAAGCTGATCCATATTGCTATGAAAGATAGGTACTACGGAAGCTTGTATATCAATGCAGAATTGAGTTTGTTCGTGCAGTAAAAATGAAACGGAACCTGCTGAAGTTCTCGTATGTTGCCGAGGAGGGGGTGGTCTCCTGAAAGAGAGAATGGAATTAGCAGACGAATTATGGTCCGCAAATGTCAAGGTGAGCAGATTTATTGTGGTCATTCTCAACAAGCATCTACGTAGCAGGCGGACTTTGTATGTGCGATTGCTCCAAGCCTGACTGAGCAGTACGAATATGCGCATGACAATGGAATCAAGGTGCTTGTAATCATCACGGAGTCCGGCTTATCCCAGGGGGTGGTCACGGTAGTTTACTTCCTTCTGTTTCCAAAGCCAAATCTTTTCGGTGTTCTATGCAGGTTCGCCATTTAGACTTCAAGTTTGTGGTAGACGTTCCCAGGGATGACTTGGCTAAAAGCTTGGCGGATTTGATTTCTGGCCCCCTGGCCGTGAAAATGCTACGACAGTCTCTCATCTAATCTGGTAACTTGATCTCATGATTTTTTTTTAAAATATGATCTAATAGTTATGCTTAGATTTTTGTGAGCTTCTCAAAGTACAGCCTTATGTGTAAGTTATTCCTTTTATGCGTTACTCCTCTCACAGCTCCGAGCATGATGCAGGTGCGAAAGTGACGGTGGATTTCTCATTGTCGAACATGATATGGTAGCCTTCCTGCATCACATTGCCGATGATATTAATCCCGATGCTTGCGCTGGACATGATAGCGAGACAAGCGACTGATTCGTTCCACGCTTCGGCATCGGCTCGACTTGGGACGATGATGTAGTTATCTTGGTGGAGGTTCATCCAAGCATCTGGGAAATGTAGAGCAAGGGAGGGAAAGGTGTAGTCTCTCTGGAGGGAAATGTTATAGCACAGGTCTAGGCCTACCGAGGTGCCGTTAACCAGGGGAAGATTAATCCGGCGGCTGAAAACACTTATCACTTGGATGTACACGCCAAGAGGAAGAAACGTTAGTGTAGTGCCAGAGTCGAAGATGGTGCCAACCGAGCTATCGAGGTCGCTGTGAGGCATGGAAATGGTATAGCCGTCAGCCGAGACACTAGTGAGGTTCACGAAGTAGAACGTTTCGTCGCCATCGCGGGTGAGAAGAGGTGTGGACTGGGCATTTGAAGCATGGACCGGAGCAGCACTGCCGTAGAAGAAGGGGCTGGGATGGTTAAGTGGCGAAAGACAGTAGGAGAACTTGTTCCCGATGGAGTCGCTCAGCTGTGTGATCAACGAGACTTGGCCTCGACCGAAGCCAGCAACGCCGTCTAGGTTCGGGAAGCCGCTTGAAGATAAGCTACAGCCGACGAGGATATCGGAAAACTTCGAAGTAGTCGCGTTGGACGTCCTGAGGGAGACGGTCTCCGTGACAACCAGGCCAGATGTTGCTCCTCCTCCTCCGTATTGGTACTGGTACTCGCAAGAGTAGAGGCAGTAGTCGTTGAAGTGTGAGCAGGCATCGGAGCAGCTCACAGTATGGAAAGTTGACGACTGTGTATAGTTGAAGCGGTTGGCGGCGCTTGGTAAGCATTGCACCCAGACGAGGTCACTCCCGGTATCAAACAGGACGTCCATGCGTTGAGGAGGAGTTCCGAGCAGAAGAGGCATTGTGAAAGCACTGCCCACGTCGGTCATGGGGATCCCGGGAATAGCTTCCCCTTTGCCTTCTCCGGCCTTGGACGCTAGATATCTGGCTCGTAGGAAGCTGTTCTGGAACCTCTTGGAGATCGGTAAGTTGGAATCGCGTCTTCTGAGCTCTGTTCTGAATCCATCCTGTTGTGTGGCTCGCAGGAGCGGATGGACGTGAGCAGGAGCAAGTGGAAGCGTGAAAAGAGCCCGCGCGAAGAGCAGCAGGAGAAAGGAGGAGATCGCCATTGCCAAGGCTGTTTTTCGATCGAGCACCCGAGCCGCCGAAGACAGAACTTATGTGAGGCGATGTAAGTATATTTTGCGTGAGCTTGGATTTGTCGTGCGAGCACACCAAGCATGCGGAGCTTATAAAGATTGTGTGTTTCGATTTCCAGGCCAGCACCAAAGGCAGATGGTAGACGGTCTCATCAAAACCGAAGCTTACATTTTGCGTAAGAATCACTTAAGCATTTTGACTTTGCTATACAGCGCTTGTTTTCCCGACTAAAAAGAATTTTCTCCCCTCATCTCTTTTGTGCAGCCGCCAAATGGTTGACTGATCAGATTGAGCTTATTCTTGTTTGCAGGTATGTTAAAGGAAAAATGTGACTCTTTCTAATAAATGTTAATGTCTTTTACAGCTCCAGGCCAATCTAACAATTGTGGAAACATTGGAGGTTCTTTATTTCCTTCTCGTTTATGAAATCTAATAGTTCTGAATATTCTATGCGCTATGTTGGTGGGAAGTTCACGAGTTTGCCACCACTTTTCAGAGCTCTTGTCCAGAAAGTCGGCGAGCCCCAGCACCAATCTCTCGGTCTGTATATATATTATTCGTTCGGTATAATGTTCTGAAAGCTATGTTGAGGAGAACGCCATGACACGGCAAACGCTAGTTCTTCTCGTCTGCTCGGTGTTTTTACTCGGCCTGTCCAACTCCGAGTACTACTCAGTCGACACTTTCGGTGGTAACGGGTTTTCAAAAGGACTGAGGTTTGGATTCTATGCAGCTACTTGTCCAAACGTGGAAACCATTGTCCGGGAGTCTTTCACTAGCAATATCTTTCGAGACCCGACTGCTGCCGGTGCTCTCATTCGTTTGGCGTTCCACGATTGCCAAGTCGGGGTACGTAGATGTTTTCCTACAATCTTAACAGTTTTGGCCAACTTTTCTGTGCTTCTCCAGGGCTGTGACGCGTCCATCCTGCTCAGCTCCTCCGAGTCGATCACCAGCGAGCTCGTCTCCGATAGAAACTTTGGAATCCGTCGACTGGATTTCATTGACAGCATCAAGAGCGCGCTCGAAGCGTCGTGCCCGGGTGTGGTTTCCTGTGCGGACATCATAGCCTTGGCTGCAAGAGACTCCATCAGGATCTCGGGGGGACCAAACATTCCCATACTCCTCGGACGAAGGGACTCCACAAGCGCCAGTAACTTAGCGGCCGATCGATCCATTCCACTCCCAACTATCAGCGTCGACGACACCATCAGCCTGTTCCAGTCCAAAGGCATGACGCTCCAAGAAACAGTGGCCATTCTAGGTACTCCTACTTCCAAATTCCCACTGCTGCTCGAGCTCTTTTCTTCGCTCTTTTCTTGTTTGTAGGTGCTCACACTGTTGGTGTTGGCCACTGCGTAAGCGTCCTGGATCGATTGTATCCAACGCAAGACCCGAACTTGCTCCCTCCTCGCTCAGCGCAGCTCCGAGCTCAGTGTCCTCCCACTCCGCCACAGCTCCTCAACAACAACACCTTCTTCGCCAATGACTTCACCAACGTGTTCTTCGACAACCAGTACTTCAGAGACATTCTCAATGGGCAGGGGCTGTTTGGAATCGACTCAAAGATCGCGCTTGACAAGAGAACCTCCCGGATTGTCTCCATGTTTGCGACGAACCAGGCGTACTTCTTTGCGGTCTTCTCCTCGGCGTTTAATAAGATGCTGGCGTCCAACGTTCTCACGGGTAGCAGTGGAGAGATTAGAAGAGATTGCAAGGTTGTCAACTCGTAAGTAGATCATCGAAGTTTAAAGTTCTTTGCTATGGTTGCTATGATATAAAGAAAACCAATTGATTTGAGAAAGGAAGTTTTGACATTGTGATATGAGCTTTGACTTTTTTTTTCAGAGAATGATGGAATGAAAGTGAAGTCGTGGACTGAGAGTTCGATTTTCTCTCTATAAAGAACACGCTAATCTTCGTCACCACCGAAATAAAACCATCAAGAGAACTATATGGGAGCTTTTGGCTTTGTGTTCGTTGTGTTCCTCGTGTTCCTGGCGCAGTGGCATGGGACGTGAATGGAAGCAGCAGCAGCAAAGTTTTGGCAACATGCCCAGCTCGACTGAGAGTTTTCATGCTCCCGGATAGATTGTCGCTCTCGAGATCCAAGAGTGTCAAGCTGTGGAGCTCACTGACGAGTCGGAGGATCTCTCCGTGGATCGCATTGGAAGAGAGGTCGGCGTGCTTGAGCCCGGTGAAAAGCGAGCGGAGGTCTCCTCCAAGCATCCACCCAGCTCCTCGAGATGCCCATTAACGTTGCTACAAGTAACTCCCGCCCAAGAGACGCACAGCTGCTGCGAGTTCCCCGAAGTCCAGTTTGCTGGGAAGGCTGGAAGAGCTCTCTCTTGCCAACTGCTCATTGCTGATGACAAGAAGCTCGAGTACTTCTCCATGTTCGACACAGACAAGCGTCACTGGGCAAATACCTCCTGAGCTTGGCAACTGCACAAAGATCGAGTGGTTTGACATTGACATCTACACGGTCCAGTTCCACAACGCTGGGACTCAATCGTCTACTCGCAGCGAAGAGCTGTGGAACATGACCCAGCTTGAGTTCCTCAGCCTGATTGAAACCATGTGTACAGGGACAATCTCTTCAAGGATTGATAACATGACCAAGCTCGGACACTTGAACGTCGGCTCAAACTCCATAATCGGAGGGGTCATATGACCAGGGGAAGTTGGCAGGTCCAAGACCTTGGTTTATCTCAGCACCATCCCAGAGTCGATCCACACCTCCACATCTTTGGCTGGGAAGCAAAATGCTGACTGGAGTAATCCCTTCCTCCCTTGCCCAGCTTTCCAGCCTCATAGGCTTACATTTGGATCACAACGTATAGGAGAGATCCCTTCATCACTGGCGCGCCTTCAAAAGCTGGAGACTTTGATACTACTTCAAAACACGTTGGAGTTATGGGTTACATAACTTCAGCCAACTTTCTGCATGTTGAGATCCCCCTTGAACTGGCAAACTGTACCTCCTTGCAAGTGCTCGAGGTGTCTAAGAACAAGAGGCATTTCATCAGTCTTAAGACTCTGGGGAAAGGAACAGGCTGGTGGGAAGCATCCCAGTTTCACTGCTTACAAAGCTGGAGTGATTCAAGGTAGGGAGTAACCCTATCCATGGCTTGGATATTGACTTGAGGAGACTTCAAGTTCTCTCCCTGGCAAGAAACACCTTTCAAGGTAGTTTTCCTTTGCTTCCTCACAACTCGAGGTTGCAACAACAACATTTATGGGGAAATTTCAAACACAATCAGTGAGCAATTAGACATATCATGGGAATTCATTCATTAGCTGTTTAGAGGGTTTCATGGTGAAGCATGATTATAGTATGCTGTTTTACTCAATTCTTGTACTATGGCCATTGCTTAACTAACTGCTTTGTTAATGTATTATATAAAGATAGTTTACCAATATTTTCAATTATAAGTGCACTTTGTGTAGAACTTTTAGTATTAGTATTTGAGGCCCATATTGGAATTTCTAAACTATTATATATAATCAGATTTTGATTAGTATTGAGAACTACATAGCATTTAAATCCTTTATTTGATGTTTTTGATTCCCAAATTATTTTTGTCAAATAAACAAATATTAAATTACAATTTTTAGTTATTGTTAATTTATAATTTCCATTTGAAGAAACAATGGAGTTTTCTGAGAGAAGATAAGATCCTAAATAGTTTTTATTTCCACTTACTAAAGATGACCTATAAATCCAACAATCATTTTCATCCATATTTATCTAACAATGTCACAAAATATTTCAAATGGCATTAGAAATATAATTAATTACCTTTATATTTTTTATTGTGAGATTTTGTTTATCATTTATTCTGTTCCCATGTACTATATATTCTAATTCTATAAATTCGTGAACAGCTCGAATATGACCATATAGTCCAGCTAAAGCTTGATCTACAACTGCTTGAGCAAGAGTTGTAAGTAATATTTTAAGGTATTCGCCTCTAACTTGCATATTAGATCCCATAGGTATGCAAAATTTAGCATTAGAAATATCATAAGAATATCCATGTATTGATATTTTCATAGATATTTGAGAAACT